TTTGTTACATGGAGGTTACAATTGTTATTAGCCACTAGATGTCAAATTGAATGGCTTGGGATATGTCACAAAATTCGAGAAGTTTTTTTTTTAAACTTTGAGTTTAGTCAATGACACACTCACAACTATTTCATTTAAAATCTAATGGACAATAGTGATTGTGATCTCCTTGTATTGAAAGTAAATGGTCTCTTTGTATACTTTTCTATACATAGAAATATTTATATACACACAAGCATGCATGTATATCTATAGAGTTTTGGTCTTTTCTCTCAAATTTTTGGGCTATGTTGTGCGGCAGATGGATGTCTTCAATGCATTTATTGAGCTACTACGCCAAACAGGGAATGTTACAAAGGGACAGGTTGACATACAAGAGTACAGGCAAGTGCACTCCACCTTTTATTCCAGTTCTAAATATGTAAATATCTTTTATTTTCGGTGTTTATTTGTTATAGGAATACTTTTCTAGAACATATTGAGAAAAGTTGTTACTATCACCAGAGTTCAGTGAATACAGAGAAGCTTGCTTGTGGGACTTAAATATCAAAAGCTTGACCTTGGAAATTACATCTGAGTATCTTATTGGTGGATCCTGTATGTTTCCCTGGGGCAACATGTAATAAGAATAAGTCTACAGGTTAATTGAAGGGGAAAGTTTCCTATAATCTACTGAATCACAGGAAAATCATAGACGATTGGTATCAGCACGAACGGGTGGCTGGCGTGGAGAGTGTGGAACCCACGGGATGTAACCCAATTGTGGTTGCCACTCTCGCCATCGCCATCCATTATTTCAATGGACGCTGATGGCTCATGGAAAATGTGTTTTTTCCATACCCATTGGGTAATAATAGTATATTTCTCTGGTTTGGTTACCCGTTTGAATACTTTGAACCAAGTACTTCAGTTCCATTTACTAAATATCAATAGTTTTCAAAACATGGACTTATTATTGGACTTGCCGGGTCCACTCACTGATTCGCATGTTGGTTTGGTGAGTTTCTACAGGGCCTGGAAAAGGCCCAGAGAATATAAAAAAGGAGAAGTCCAAAAAATTGAAAAATAGGGAAACTTGAGCATGCTTAGATTTCATCAGAATCCCTAGATCTAGTGAACTAGAATATCTTTAGGGGAAAGGTAGTTACGTTTGAAAAGTTTTGAAACATCTAATTTATGATACACATAAAAAATTTCTTGTGATGTTTGCTTGTCCATCATGATCGTACAATCAGATCAATCGATTTTATTTGATGTAATCACAATGTTCAGATCTTTCTTTCTCTTTACAAACTAGGAACCTTTTCTTACAAATTAGTTCCTAATCACCTAAGGATTCCTTGAATATCTATCTCTTTCTTAACAGTAGGAATCTCACTGTATAATAAGATTTCATTGCATTACGAATTTCATTTTTTGCATTTCCTTAAATTTTAGTTTCTATTAAAAAATGAGATTTATAATTCTTTAAGTTTAATTAAGAATCTCTATTTCTTTACTTTTTTGTCCTATTTAAACTAAGATAAATAATTCATCCTTATACAGTAGAGTCCTAATAAATGAGGTTTTGTTTGTATTTATAGGATTATTATTTTATTTTCTGATGGGGTTAAGTATTATGCCACTTTTTGAAATTTTTTAATCAGGCTTTTTATTGTTTTGAGAAAATTATTTGTGAATTTAAAATAAGATATAATAAAAAATAATATACAATCCGTGGCTGGGGCCTTTGGTTATGCGACTACACTTGTGTGTTGTACAGGTTTGGACTAGTATTTTGCTAAATTTTTATAACATTTTGAAATTTTTCTTATTGATTTTTCTAGTCAAAATAAACACGAGGTCTATCTAGATCCAAGAGTATTCATCGAAAGATATATTAAAAGATATATACCTGATATCTGTGAATCAAAAAGGATGTTTGATCTTGAAATTTTTTATCTTCAGTCACATGTACACCTAAAAATGCTCTTCAAATCCTCATCCCAAACTGTGGAGATGACCAGATTTAGGATGGCCTTATTTGGGGATTCACCAAACTCTTTTTTAGAATGAAATAGAAAATCCTAACCCAAAAATCTAAATCTATAAGTTTTGTGATTGATTCAGCTGAAACTGTTGTAATTGCTAATATGGTGAAAATAGACCAAAAAAGTCATATGCCCTCTAAATAAGAAATCGCTTACAATAGGCATCTTATCTTTTAGTGTCAGAACAATATGTTTACTAAAAAGACAGGTGCAGACTCCGTGAGTCCACAAAGACTCATGAGTCCCAATTTTGTGCAGTAGAAACTCGAGTCTACTAAAGACTTGGCTCGAGTCTTTTAGGAAGTGGTTTTTTCCCCTTTTTGTTGTTCTACATACATAATTGGGACATGCTCGAGGTGAGTGGGCTCGTGAAAGTTGTGAGCAATTCTTTGAGTTTTTAAACAAGTATTACCTGGAATTTGGTGTTGGTTCATGGCTGGAAGTGGGGAGCACTTCATGGTAGTATTTGAAAATTTGAATACTGCAATTGTTTCTTCATGCTTTCTTCCAATATGTGTTTCATGCCTCCTAAGGATGGAAATTACAAATTAAGTTTATTTATAATGTAACAAGCTTCTTTCCGAGTTTTTATTGACAGTGTATTAAGATTCCCAATATGTGGATGTATCAGGATTATTGCATGTGTTTGATCTCTGTTTGAGCGGCATTATGAACTTGTTTAAGTGATCTGCCAAAGACCCGCAAACAGTGCCAAGGACATGCTGGTCCACAAAAACCTAGAAACCAAAGCGGCTGCCTGGAATAATTATGTAGTAACAAACCAGTAAATCTTCTCTGTTATGATGAACTTGCCTATTGTCTGGTGTGTTAGTAAATACTTCTAAGTTGTAAAGAAAGTGATAGTCTAAATAGGTGTGTAGCCTAAACAGAAAGATAACTTAAGAAAAAAAATCTATAAAGATTGCTCAGATTTTTAGTTTTATTTGAGTTTCATTTTCTGGGGCCTCGGACACTTACCTGGGGTAAATTAGTTAGAAAAGGGAATTTTTGCAGTTCCAGATGTTAGACTGTTAATTTGGTTTCCTGGAGCATGGCTATGTTAGATGGTGGCTATGTTAGATGGTGTGCCGGCCACCATCTGCTCATTTGGTTTTTGAATTGTCTTGGCTTACTATTTTTAAACTCTATTTGTGGAAAATTGAGTTTGGCGTTGAATTTATGTAAGTTCTGGTGGTTGGCAGTCCTTTGTGGATGTTGAAGCAAGAAGTGCAAAAAATAGTGAGATCCATAAACAAGCAATTGAGGGAGAAATCCATAAAAACAAAGGTAATTATAGACATTTATTTAGTTTTTGAAAGAATAAGGAGTGTACGGTTCATTGAGGAGCAAGTTGACGGGCTATTTCTAACATCCTTCCTTTGCAGGTTGGCGCATTCTCAGTCTTGAGAGAACTTGTGGTTGTGTTGCCAGACTGCTTAGCCGATCATATTGGATCTCTTGTGCCCGGAATTGAAAAAGCACTAAGTGTAAGTAATATCTTTTTAGTTACTTTGAAAAGAAGAAATTTCTTTTAGGTTGGAAACTTAATAAATGTTTGATGATTTATTTAATATATGTCCTTGTTATTCTTTTCATGTGCGGTGGCGTCTTACTTTGCTCGTTTTATTCACTTTTCCCTCTTCATTTGTAGGACAAGTCTTCTACATCGAATCTGAAGATTGAGGCCCTCATTTTTACCAGATTAGTGATGGCTTCACATTTGCCATCTGTTTTCCACCCATACATCAAGGTAATTGAGAAGTTTATTTTTCAAATAAATGTTGATTTTATTTTTCTTTCAATAGGTATATATGCATTAAATTGATAAAAAGAATTAACATTATTAAACAGTTGCCTATGGTGATAATCATTCCTATGACCCAATTTATTGATAACGACCCTCATATATGCTGCTTGCTCAACAATCTCTTCTTTAAGTGAAAAATTATTGAGCTGTTAAAAATTCACAAGCAAAGGAAGAGGAACCAAATACAAGCCAAGAAAAAGAGGAAAAAATGGAAGGTAATCCAGGAATTTCAATGTAATATCCCGATGACGTAGCTCTCCATGATTCGATAATTTGTGGAGATTGCTCAACTACCTAGTGAGCCCGTATAATTTTCTAAGATTGCTCAATTCCATCCTTTGTAAAGACCGGCAGTCCAACTGGAGAACAGGTGGCAAAAACCTTGTCCGTCAAATGGAAGTCCCAAACCGGGATTTACACAAACCCGGTCAAAACTGGCATTTGACCGGTCGAATTGGTTTGATCACTGGATGTGCCGGTTCTTTTACACTAGCCAGTTTTGGGAAAAAGTTGAACGTAAGTCCATTATTTTTCAAATTTCTTGCTAAATTTTTATAGGAATCAATTTTTTATTTCCATGTTTTTCTTTTTGATTGCATGGGAGCTTTTTATTCCCAAACATTGTATCAAAAAATTATGATTAAAAGGAAACCATATCTTGCTTTCCTTTTTCGAAAAAGATCAAATTTGTTAAAAATATTTCCTTTTTTTAATCATTTTTTTTATATTTTTCATTTTGAAAATTTTAGTAAGTTCTATTCCTTTTGTCATGACTATTTATTAGATCTCGCTTTCTTGGGAACACAATTTATTTCAAACATAACATCTTTGTGTAATTGTTTATTGAGAATGGAGTAAAGTTCATTCCTTTTCTGTCAATTTTTAAAAACGTGGCCAATACTCGGCTAATTTTGGAAAGCTGTACAAAAGAATATTTTATGAGAGTTTATCTAAAATGAATAAAATTTTCATAACTCTGGAAACACCAAACTTTTTTACTGACATTTCCTTGGTTTTACCTAATGGACTTCTAATTTCCAACTTATAAAAAAAAAAAAAAACTGGACTTCTAATTTCCATTGATTTCTTCATAATTTAGTAATTTTCTGATTTTTTATATTGAAAAAATGGTGTGACCAGTCTGCTCTCTGGTTGGACCAGTTTTGACTAGACCCACCCCTTTGCTGTTTCGAGCACTGGTCTGAGACTGATAAGACTGCTCTGAAGACATCTAAGCTGTGCTTTTTTTTCTAGCTCTTGTTGGATTGTGGAACCAACACAAACGTTTTTCTATAAGTTTTCTTCACCGAAGAGTCAAAAGTGTGAATGCATCACTTGCATTGAAGGCATGTCTAACATAATGGTTGCAAGAATATTTTAAAATAGCAGGAGTCCTCAAAACAATGAAAAAGAGTCATCTGTGTCTAGCATGGGTGGTCTTGTCCTGAAGGTTCTTGTTTTACTTTTTCCTCAGTATCCATTATTCACTTAGTTCCTAGATTCTCTAGATATACTAAGTTGCTCACAATGATTTCAAAAACTAGTTCCTATAGTCTCTAGATATGCTCACAATAATTTCAAATATCCCTCGAATTTAGTGCTAGTCGTTTTGAATATTGTGCCATGCGCCATGCATCCCTTGAGAAACTATAGGGTGTTATACCTGTAGAAGGAAAAAAGGATTGGGATCTTGGATCCTATTAGGGAAATCTGTTATAGCATTGGTTTTTATTTTGCGGTGAGTCTGGTATGGAATAGGTAGGGTGAGTTTTGTATTATGTTTTGAGTCAGCCAGGTGTCATCTGACCTAGTCTAATGCCCAGTTCTACTATTCAATGACTCCAATATTGATGTGCATGTGAAAATGCAGAAATAACACACGCACGCACATATTACACATGCATACTGGGAGGGAAGGAAGGGAGGTCGTCTTGTTAGTGGTTAGAGAGATCGTACTTTACAGTCTCATAACTGGCAGCAATGTAATACTTTGCAGGCTCTCTCAGGTCCTATATTATCTGCTGTAAGTGAACGCTACTACAAGGTCACGGCTGAGGCATTAAGGGTCTGTGGAGAGCTTGTTCGTGTCATCCGCCCAAATATTGAGGTGATGGTCAACTTTTTTTTTTTTCCACCCAGAAAAGACCTGCTTGAAGCATGTATGATTAATTACTTGATCCATATGCTGGACTCTTTGCCACCATTTTTTATGAATTTGTATCTAAAAGTTTGTATATATTTTACAATTAATAGATTTTCTTATAGGTAGTAATGATTGCTCTTTGTGTGAAATAGGAAACTGTCTTTGATTTCCGACCTTATGTTCGCTCCATATATACTGCTATCTTGTTGCGTCTGGCAAACCAAGATCAAGATCAGGTTCGTTACAAGCGCGTGGTAAGTATTTTATTCTTCTTTTATTCTTTTTGAGTTTCTCATGGAAGTACTTGTCCAGGAAGTCAAGGAGTGTGCAATTTCTTGCATGGGTCTCGTCATTTCAACATTTGGCGATGACCTCCAAATGGAGTTACCTACATGCCTTCCTGTCCTTGTTGATCGTATGGGAAACGAGATAACACGACTCACAGCCGTCAAGGTAAATACCGAATGCATATATTTGTGCTGTCTACTGACTTCGTGAGTTTCTTGTTTGCATTGCTTTCTTTCTTTGTTTGTAGTACTTTTTCTGAGTTATCTTGTTCAGAGTATGCACAAATATAGGTGCCATTTTATAATTATACTCTATTCACACTTTGAAAAAAGGAGTAAATGAAGCAAAGGCAAAACTACAAGTGGACTGTAGTATGCCTAAAAACCCCCCTATTTCCTTTAAACCGAAATTAGATGACTGGTCATTTAGAGTTAGCATCTTTTGGAATGGAAAGTAATCCAATGCGTGTGCTGGTTGATTCGTGTTCATTTATGTTTTGGAGAGTAGGACCCACTGTTGGGGTCAGAAGCAGATAGCTACTATTCTGATTGTGATTTGGCCTTTATTCATGCGTGCCACCATGTTTATGGGTTCTGCATGTTGCTGCATTTTCCTATTAGCGTAGATGATCTTGTTGTGGGATACCTTTCTTTTTGACTACTTGTGTGCAATTTTGCATGTGTATGTGAGCCATATTAGAGAAGATGGATTGCTTTTGGATGTGGATTTATTTTTGACTTGTGGTTTACATTTTTCGGCTTTTAACTCATGAAGATTTGTTTCTGATTGGAAATTTCATTAGCTGATGTTCTATTTATTGCTGGATTACTGGCCACCGGAGGATCCGCTATTGGTTTCATGTCAATGATGAGATTCGACTTTATTTGGTTCCTTCCATAGCATGGTTAATCTCCTGTTACCAGATAGTTGGGAGGATCCCCCATTTAGAATAATACATATGGTTAGAAGGCACATATTTTCTGGTTATTCACTGTGGGTTGCATCACTAAGAGCTCGAGGATGATTCTGATAATCCCAGCTCATTATGTGACCCTCTGAGGTCCGGGAAAAGATCTCATCATGGAGTGTGGGAGCAACTTTTGCTGCATATACATATTGCTTAGCGAAAAACTGGTTACATCACTTATTCATGTGGTTTACATGAAGGATGGCTGTTGTGGTTCATTATATGATTTATGAACCTCAGTATTGGTTAGTGCACAGAAGTACGGATCTAGTTTCTCATATGTTGTATTTAATATTTATATATCTCTTGGTGTCTTTTGTGGAGGGTACTTGATGCATGTTCATTTCCCACAACTTAGGTTACTGTTGGAAAATATTAAATCAAATACATGCTACTGCATCTGTCTGCATTCACTGATTATCTTGATGTCATGGAGCTGAATCCCATGACAGCTCTTCGTTTGAATTTTTTACATTTAAGTGAAACCTGGGGTTTTTTTGAATTACACAACTCCTAGTTACTTAAATATGTTCCATTGCATTGATGCATATTTTTTTTCCCCAATTTTCTCTTTATCGTCGCTACCTTGGATGCAGGGGAATTTGTATTATCATGGTAATTTATGCACGGTGTGCTTGCCAACTGATTATTAGAGATATCCTAGCTTATGAATGTACTCTTACGTTTTTTTGAATGCCAGGCCTTTGCCGTAATTGCCAGCTCACCACTTAAGATAGATTTATCGTGTGTTTTGGACCATGTATTAGCAGAGTTAACGGCTTTCTTGCGAAAGGTAATACATGCTGTCCATGTTTTGGAGAGGGACTTTTTCTCGTGAACAAAAAAAATTGGTTTTGCTATTTGATCTTGTATATCTTTTGGGATTTTATGGCTATTAAAGATCTGTAATGTAATGGTCGTATTTTGTTTCTTATTACATAGGCCAACCGAGCTTTGAGACAGGCATCTTTGGGGACCCTGAATTCTCTAGTAGTTGCTTATGGTGACAGAATCAGCACCTCCACCTATGAATCTATCATTGTGGAACTTTCAGCACTGATAAGGTATTGTATTGTACTCTTAAGCCGCGGTTTTAAATATCAAATTCTGACCAAGACTCAGTCTGAGCCAACATGTCTAAAATTTGAATGTGCTAGGTCACTGAGTCAACCTGAATTGAGTTTTGAAACACTGCTCTTAGGGTTCTAGTGAACATGCATTTCTTGATATGCCCAATTTTTGTTGGAAATGCACTGGGGAGCCTGCTCTTAAATTCTATATTCTATGTTGCAGTGATTCTGACTTACATATGACGGCCTCCGCTTTGGAGCTTTGCTGCACAATGATGGCTGATAGAAAGTTCAATAAAGATGTTGGTTTGTCAGTGAGGCAGATAGTTCTTCCTCAAGCACTTGTTTTGGTGAGAAGCTCTTTGTTGCAGGGGCAAGCTCTTCAGGTAGTTTTCCTGTGACTTTTGTATTTTGGGAAATTATACTAGAGCAATGGGCTATGAGAAAACCATAATTCATTGGATCATCCCATAACATCAGAGTTATGTCTTATTCTTGTGAGCCCAATTCTTCTATCATCACCATCCATCATTTCAATCGATGGTGATGGCCAATGAGCATTACCATCCATCATATCAGTTGATGGTGATGACCAAATGAACTATGGTTTTCATAGGCCATGGGATTTATAGCATAATTTGTGTTTTTGTATCGTTATACTATTGAAGGAAACATAATTGTCTAATACCTCCTTGGTTTGAATAACAGGCATTGCAATCTTTCTTTGCTGCGTTGGTTCATTCTGCAAACACTAGCTTTGATGTCTTGTTGGATTCTCTCCTTTTTAGTGCCAAGCCATCTCCTCAGTCTGGTGGCCTAGCCAAACAGGCTTTATATTCAATTGCTCAGTGTGTTGCTGTCCTGTGCCTTGCTGCTGGTGATAATAAATGTGCTTCTACCGTGGAAATGCTTACAAGCATTTTGAAAGATGATAACAATACCAATTCTGTGAGTTTTCCTTCTGCATCCTGCAAGTGTAATTTTTGTGGTGGGGAATGTATTGTGAAGTTCGTCATTAATATACTGAGAAGTTCTTGGTTAATTTTATATGTTTTGTTAATTTTTACTGTATATATGTGACGTACACATATACACAGATATGTACTAGTTCAGAGTCTGCGAGATGCACACTTACAACTGCATTGGCACAACCAATCAAATTATGTATTATTTTCAAAGCCTCTCATATTAATTTGACACATTAATTTTCACACATGTAAAGTTTGTCATATTAAATCCATAAAAAGTGGAAGGTTCCATATTATTACTTAGACATAAAAAAAGGGGATTCATATAATTTGAGAATTTATCAATGCAAAGAAACTTATTTTTCCAGGATTCTACTGTATAAGGTTAGTTTTTTTATTGTAAAAAAAAACTAATTAATGGAAATTTTTAGTAATAAACAAAAGAATTTAGAGAGTAGATTTTTTATTTTTCTTAAAAATCATTAATATTCAAAATAAAAAATTTATCTCAAACCCATATCTGTATGGAAGGCTTAATATAAGGAGAGATTTCAACTTTTTTAGGAGAGAGAAAGATATACAAGGATATCTTTTTCATCATGATTCTAATTTGTGAGGTGTGTTTCCAGATTTGCAAGGATAGCAAAAGATCTGACGGTGGTTATTAAATAATTGAAAATCAAGGACCCTTATTATGTGATGATGGCACATGCACATCCTTAGAAATTTGGTGATAGTAGATGTTTGGATGTCCCTTTCCATCTTGTACACATGTAAATGTATGATGTACTTCCCACAAGGTGTTCACGAGGATAGGTATTATTCATGAGTACATGGTTGTCTCTAGGTTGCTATTTCCATATGCGGTTATGATCCATGTCTAGTTAAAGATGGTCTTTGCATGCACCAAAAACTTGATTTAGATCATTCATAAATGCGATGAAGAGGGCAGGAGCTTAAATATTTTTTGCTTCAAAGTTAAATACTGATTCTGTTTTATCTTTTTTTATTAGATTGAATTGGATCACTAAGCTTTGGTCTATCTTCTGTGTATATTTAATTTTTTTAAATTACTGGATTTAATTTTCTCTTCAGGCTAAACAGCACCTTGCTTTGCTATGTTTGGGAGAAATTGGCAGAAGGAAGGATCTTAGTTCACATCGAAATATAGAGAATATCGTAATTGAATCCTTTCAGTCGCCATTTGAAGAGATTAAGTCTGCGGCCTCTTATGCTTTAGGAAATATAGCTGTTGGGAATCTATCCAAGTATCTACCATTTATATTGGATCAAATTGATAACCAACAGAAGAAACAATACCTTTTGCTTCATTCGTTGAAGGAGGTTGGTAGTTTTTGCTCTTGCACATGAAAAGTCAGTTAATATTCGTCTAGTATTTCTACCTAATTCTTCTGCCTGGTCATGCAATTGAAGCTTTGTGAAACCCTCAATCAAGTCACTTATCCAAAAATAAGGGGGGGAAAAAAGAAAAAGAAATCCAATCCGTGATCGACTCTCTCTATTTTCAGGTTATAGCCAGGCAATCTATGGATAAGGCTGGCCAAGTGGAATTGCAGGATCAAAATGTTGAAAAGATACTTAGATTGCTCTTCAACCACTGTGAAAGTGAGGAAGAAGGAGTTCGCAATGTTGTTGCCGAATGTCTAGGCAAAATTGCACTTATTGAACCGAAAAAACTTGTTCCTGCTCTCCAGGTATTTTTTTCTTTCCCAAGTGATCCAGAAGCGATCAACAGTTATATGATATGTAGATGTCCGGTAGATTTTTCGAAGCATTATGTGATAATGTTTTTCAACTTGTAAGAGTATCTTGTAATTCAATGGACAATGGGAAACATAGGCCAAGGGAGAAGATAAAAAAGGTTGGGGGGAGGGAGGGAGCGAGGGTGGGCAAAGACTGATCCAATGGTTTCTAGTCATTTCATTACACAAAGACTGATCCAATGGTTTCTAGTGTACTGTTTCCACAAATCTGTGGAAACCCGTGGTTCTAGATTTTCTTGTTTAAGTTTGGTATCTCCTTTTAGTATTGCCATTCAATTTGCAGTGTTTGTCAGATATTTGCACTTTGACAAACGATATTTTTTCCATCCTTGTGTAATGCTTTTTAGGTGCGGACAACCTGCCCTGCTGGTTTTACCAGGGCCACAGTCGCCATTGCTGTGAAGTATTCAATTGTCGAACGACCAGAGAAAATTGATGATGTTATTTATCCGGCCATCTCTTCATTTCTGATGCTTATAAAAGATGATGACCGAGTAAGTCTTGCATCCAATTTATTTCCAGCAACTACAATGCGTGCGCACGTGTGTGTGTGTGTGTGTTTTTTCTTGGTGGGGTGGAGAGAGAGAGAGAGAGAGAGAGAGAGAGAGAGAGAGAGAGAGAGAGAGTAGTAGTTAGTTAGTTAGT